CGCTGATTGAATAAACCGGACCGGACTGAAATGGATCGGACTGGACTGGACCATCGAACAACTGTACTTTTCTTTAACTTTTACTCAAGGACGAATACTTGCGCATGTAAATCATGACTTTTAAGGCTTGGATATTGGATTTTACTTGCATGCAACTTAACATGACTCGGGAGTGAAAATATACTCAAATTCACATGATACTTGACCGAGGACATGAACTCAAAACATGCTCAACTTTTACCAACATCATACTCATGATTTATAAGGATTTATAAGCTATCAAACTCGACTTAAACATGCTTGTTACTAAAAATTCGAATATTAGCTCTTAAACTTCAAAAATTCGACTCTTTATTAAGCATGAACATGACTTGATTTTTTCTTCATGATAAATCTTAAAATATCATGATAAGGCTAGGAAAATTGAAAGTCACGAGATTACCTTCACCGAAATGCTATATTGGTGTTAGTGTCCTTTGCTCGTGCTTGTTTCGTTCTCTAATGTCCTTATCTTAACTCCATGACTTTTGGCCGGGAATGATGGACTAAATAGACTTCTAATAGTCCAAGAAACAATATGGTACTGATAGACCTTGATGGAAAATGACTAGAACAAGCTGAAGTTCGAATCCTTTTTCACCCGTGCCTATTTGCTCTCGAAATGGGACTTATCTTATAGCTCTCAGTTTTCTCTCTATTTAACCGAGGTATGCTCGTGATTTTAAGCTTTAATGTGCTATATACTCAGATAGGAAGTGGTATTTATAATATGGCTCAAGATAATATGCAAAAAATGGTAGAGGTAAGTGGTTGAACCTCCCATATGCAAATTAGGTGTTGTGTAGTTGACTTGGTTGTCTTTATGCCAATTTTCTCGAAATTACCTGGTATTAGCTGAACTAAATGATCATTGTCTGGTCTCACATGACGTATGAACGTGCATTAGTCAACTCTTAGGTAGATCAAGACAAAAACTCCAACTAATGGCATTAAAATAATGTTTCTAGCACATGTCACACTTGTCTCCACATGTTGTTGACTTCTTTTGTATTTCCACCGAACTAAAACAGCTCAAACTACTCTTAATTCATCTGGCATCACTCGCATAGAACATGGCTCGATGGAAATTGGCCATAAAATGAACCATTAGCTCAAGAAGTAGGCTGTTGCTGGTACCCAGGCGCTGTCTGCTGGGCGTGGCGCGAGGTCTGGACGCGACTAGTGCTGGCTGGACACACAACCTTGTGCATGAGACTTAACATAGAATAAGAAGATCTAAGGCTGAATTAATGAGCTAAAAATACTTAGAAAAATTCTAAGTATTTAATACTAAGACTCGACTATAACTTGAGAACTTCGCGGCACGGTTAACTTGAACCGAACTTAATTTACTTCTAAGGCCAACCTTTGATCAATTATAATTCCAAATTAATGGATTGATCTTGACCTTAACATGAAGAATAAAATTCTAAGAGATTTACTAAGGCTCGGAACTAGAAAAGATCATTATTAATAAAAGTAAAATAGTTCAAACTTAGAACTAAAATAATTACTTTTATTAATTACTGAATGAGATATTACAATAATAGAAGTTTAGTACTTGCACAACAATATTACATAAATTGCACATTACCGTGTGAGGAACTGCACATTAAAATAACCAAAATAAGTGATTATTTGTATTATTAAAAATTATTTAGATTTAGTGTTTATATATTTTTATTAATACTTTATATTATGTTTGAGTATAAAAATAATATACATGTACACAAAATATAAATGTGCAATCTGACAAATGTTAATGTGCAATTCATAGAACATTATGGTGCACGGTGTCGGTCTGTATTGTGCAAATTGAACTGATCAAACTTTTATTCCAAATCAAAAGAAGTTGGACATAATTACTTGACTTATTAGGTCTTATTGAATTATCTTAAATTATTGAAATAGTTTGTTGTCTATATTAAAATTATATTTAGGCTGTTGTAATTTCATTTATTATTTTTGACTGTAAAAATATAATATACGAAATACCAAAAATAATAGAGTGCAAGAATACAAATACAATTGTGCATCTAGTATAGTATTATTGTGCAATATATAGGGTTTTTTTATTGTTCATTTATCAAATTACTTATATAATAAAGAATATATTTGGTATGTATATCTTGTATGTAATATTTTATATTATTATTCGTTGAAAATAAATAATATATTTTTTATATAGATTGGATATAAATAATATCTTTTCATATAGTTTGGTTGGTTATATTATATATTTATTTATTTATTTTATAAATAAAATCAAAATCGGAATGAAATATCAAAGGTTTTAATATTTGTTAAAGTGCACAATGTTATGCTGATGTTCAATCTCAATCGAATTGATGTGTGTTTGATTTAACACTGTTGTGTCGTTCGATATTTGATGATACTCCATCTTCACTTCTTGACTTCTTGTTCTGATTATGAGAGAAACGGTTTTCAATCCATAACTAGGGATCCGCACTCCTACGTGGACATAACGAAAGGGAGTACTTGGAGACAGAGAAAGCGATGCAATTGACTCGACTGAAAGCCAATTTACATGATAAATGAACACTACCAAAAAGATTCAGGACTTACTGCTAACGATACCAGGGGTAAACTAAGAATCCGTTTTCTATCCAAACCTTGCTTGCGATAGAGCTTGCTTGACACTTGCACTTGGCGTGTGCATCTTGTTTAAAACTATTGTGCATCCTCAGTATGGAATTTTTTTTATATGTAAGTTTAAACTAACAAACCAATATAACTGAATTTGTCTAAATAATCAAAATAAATTATTATTTATATTTTAAAAATTTATTTATTATTTAATATATTTTTTTTATTTTTTAAAACTATTTTTATATTATTTTATTATTTTTATAATTTTTTTATTTATTAGTTTAATATATGTGTGATAAAAAAAATAAATGGAAAAAAAACATTTTATTATTGATTTTATATAAATTGCATATTTGACCCATGGATTGAATTGGAATTTAACAAAATTCCAGAAATTGCATTTAAGTCCCTAATACCTATCAAATTTTCAAATTAGAGTCCCTATCTTCTCCTTGCCGGAAAGCAACCTCTTCCCGTTGCCGCCCTACGCCTCCCAGCGCCTCCGTCGTCTCGGTCACCTCCTCCATCATCTCTGCGACGGACGGATTCCAGTTAGAGCTTCATGTGTGCAGGCCGCGGTCGCCGGAAACCGTCAGTGAGAGCTGTTGTCGGCAGTGCTGCGGGTAAGAGCCTATATGGACGCCTGCCGGAGTCGGAGTGGAGGTCAGGCAGTTCCGCCGACTGCCGTGGGTGGAGAAGAAGCTTCAAGACGGTGACGGCGGCGATTAGTGAACGATGTCCGACAGAAAATTTCACGGCGGTGATAGGGGTCCACTCTCCGACGGTCTGCGCCATTGCCGACGGCGGCGGATTTGCAACTTGTCTGGAGGGTGGTGGATCTCGCCGGCAGGAGGGGATGCAGCGACAGGCGGTGAGGATGACCGGCGACCATGTGTGTGTGTGTGAAGTGTGTGCGTGTGTGTATATCAATTCAGTGCGTGTGTGTATGTGTGAGAGAGAGAGAAAGGGGGGGAGGCGCGTGATGATAGGCTGTAACAGATGCAGAATATTGATTGTGGTGGGTCCTACTGAGGGATGGTACCATATTATCCTTAATGAGTGTAAAAATCAATATTTTTTTGAGTCATTGGATCATATGATCTAATGGCTAAAATTTATTCTTATTTCTTTCATTGAGCACCATGCAGAATATTGATTGTGGTGGGTCCTACTGAGGGATGGTACCATATTATCCTTAATGAGTGTAAAAATCAGCATTTTTTTGAGTCATTGGATCATATGATCTAATGGCTAAAATTTATTCTTATTTCTTTCATTGAGCACCATTCTCTCCGGAGTGCGATATATATATATATATATATATATTTTTCTTTTTTCTTTTGAAAAAATACTAGACTGAAAGTTATAAGCCAGAAAAGGGAGGGCCATAAATATGGACGAATCAATCTATACTTATATTAAAAGGGGTACTATTTACCAAATTAAGTAGTCAGAAAAGTCAACAGCATTTATTGCATTACTATTTCTGTATTATACTATATAAAAGGATATTCTATTTACTACATTTACTATCCAGAAAAGTCAACTGTATTAAATGTCATTACTATTTTGGTATTATAATATTTTATTTATTTAATTTATTTATTTATTTATTTTATTTTAAAAAGGTAAGTATAATAAAAAGATTTTAATAATAAAAAAATCAAATACCAAATAAAAATGTACACTTTGACTTATTTGATTATATTTGGTATTTGATTATACCAAATATATTCCTATTTAGTATGTACATTAAATACTTACTAAAGTATTTATTTGTTTTATTTGTCAAAGTTAAGTATAGATTTGTTTATATTATCAAATCATAAAAAAATATTAAATCCATATTGTAAAAAAAAATTCATATAATTTTATAACAATTCTACTACACTATTTAACAATATTCCTTTTTTATTATATAATAAAATAATAATTAAATATTATATGGTGAACAACAATAAGTAAAACTGTTACTCTCTTATATCAAGGGATAAATTTATATGCTAAAATTAAATTTTTATTAGTATAAATGTTTTAGTGAGATAATATATTAATTATTTTACAAGCTAGCCCTAACATGCTCATATTTAATGTTTTAAAAGATGTAAAAAAAAAACTTATATTAACTTTGTTGTTTTTTAGACTTAAACGTTGATTAAAAGAGGTAAAAATTTCTTAATTTTTTAGACTTAAACATTGATTAACACCATAGATTGAGAGTTTATATTTAGTAAAATTCCTAATTGTAATAAGAAAATTAATTTTTGCTATATTTTAGAATATTTTTAAATTCATTATAAAAAAAAGAAAAAAAAGCTACAATGAAAAAAGCAAGTCAACTATATATCGATTTGTTGTACTCCTCAAATCACATTCACAATTTGGCTACAAGGAAAGGAAACTCATTGATTAAAATATTATTTTGTCAGTAGTCTTAATGTACAAGAGACTTTAAGACTCCACTTGAATATTATAAAACTTTTATTAAACATTGTACAATTTTCTTGGGTATTATAAACTTCTATTGAATATTGCATCTTATAATATAATATTATGCAAATAAATATATCTCGTGCTTCGCACGTACTATATATATCCCGTACATTTTTCTTTATTCATGTATATATTTATAAGCCTGGATAAATAACCTTAAAACTGTGCACCCCGTGCATCGCACGGGCTCTGTACTAGTTCAGTTTAAATCATGAGTCATAGCAAAATAATATCCAAGATACCAGACTACCCCATTAGGACTACATGTAATTCGAAACACCCAGCCCTAGCTTCTCATACAAGAGAACAATAAAACGTAACACAAGTTACTATTTCTCATATTTTTCGCCGAACACACATGAATTAAAAAAACCATAAACAAAAAATAAAAAAAATCTACCAAAGAATTCGTCAAAACAAACTCAACCATGAACCACCCATACATCTCGCAAATGCAAAACATTTAGCTACCTTGCAGAACACAAAAACTAACAGGTTGTCTGTCATTAAATCAAAAAACCCCCCCAAAAAAACCAGTCAATTCTCGCCAAGCGTGAACCGCACGAACCGCCTGACCTTCACATTTTCCCCGAGCGCCGCCACAGTCTGTTTCACCAAATCCTTCACAATCACGCCATCATTCTTAATAAAAGGCTGCTCCAAGAGTGCCAGCTCGCCAAGCCTCTTTGCAACCCGTCCCTCGACAATCTTCTCCCTCACATTCTCCGGCCTCGACTTCAAGTCTTCCCTCTGCATCTCCAGTTCCTTTTCCCGGCTAACAAAACTCTCAGGAATGTCCTCGACCGACACATACTTCACGTTCGGACAAGCCACGACTTGCATCGCCAGGTCATCGACGAGCTCCTTGAAGACTTGGCTGCGGCCAACAAAGTCAGTCTCGCAGTTGACCTCAATGAGGACCCCAATACGGGAGTCGTGAATGTAGGCCCCAACTCGGCCCTCGGCTGCAGCACGGCCCGATTTCTTGTCGGCAGTCGAGAGGCCCTTCTTGCGGAGGTACTCGTGGGCCATGGCCAGGTCACCTCCGGATTCCGAGAGGGCTTTCTTGCAGTCCATCATCCCGGCCCCACTTTCCTCCCGAAGCTGTTTTACCAGACTAGCTGACACAGCCACCTTCAGAGGCCTAATTGAGGAACACAATTATGATATAGAACAACAAGATAAACACTATATAACTGTGCCGCCATATTTATGTTAAAGCATTATCATGTTCTATATTAGTTAGCACCAGAAAAGGGTGGCAGGCTCGTCACAAAGATCTGGCTGACATCTATTTTTATGTTATAAGCTGCTCATTGACAGCAGTTTATTATTTAGTATGACGAATTTTGGGTATTCGTTTTTTAGAATTTATTTATTTATTCAATTTGACATTTTTTTCTTTTTTTTGGGCAAGAATTACATATCTCGAACCCAAGAAATGTGTTTTTTGAAATGAAATAACATGTTTGTTTGATCCCAGGAATCATTTCTCAGCACGAGAAACTGTTTCTCAGATCCAAGACACATGTTCGGTCCAGCAACCGTTTCTTGGATTCAAGAAATATAACATGCAAGTAATTAATAAAAAAATAATAGTTAAGTGTCACTATCACCAAGGGTATGATTATCGTTCAAGACAACATGGTTAAGACACCCGACCATGCTTTCAGAAAATGGATAAAAACAATTTTTTAATAAATAAATGGCCATTTTGTTATGGTAACTACTGTCGTAAAAGACCCTGCCTGGCTACAGTTATTAGCTTGCCTAAGCAGTAAGCACTAGCCCCCCTATACTGCATACATTTTTATCTGATTGTATCTTGTCTAGGACTATATAAATTCCACCTAACCCACCTAAGTTCCGATTAAATCACGCCTAGGCACTAGGCCCCAGTCCACCACCCAGAGAGAGCCTATAGATTTCAACAAAACTGATAATAACACTATATATTACTCTCCCCCTCCTCATCCACCTAAAAAAAAAAAGTCAGTATTATTGATTTGTGGAAGACCCTCTGAAATTAATTAGGTGACTGTCGCCTATAAGCTGAAGAATTCTGTTCCTAAGGCAAATTGGTCGAGAAGGATTCATCTCAGAAATTAAAACATACTTATTCGCGATTACAGTTTCTTATCATTCCAAAATTGTTGCAAGAAGTTAGGTATATGTCATGATTTCTATATATTATGCTTCTTACTCTATGCGTATGTGTGCATAAATATAAGCCATAAATATGCAAATCACGTTGCATTGACCTGCAGTGCAGTAAATGATATATTACTTACTCCTCCACGGCTTCTGTGGTTTCTGCTTCAGCAGCAGGCTCTTCCTGTTTAACAGATGTTGATACCACCGACTTAGAAGCAGTCTGGGCAGCAACTACTTCAGCAGCAAAATCTTGACTTTTCTTTTCCAAACCCTCACCAAGGTTATAGCGCACGAACCTTTTCACCTTAATGTTCTCCCCAACAGTCGAGATTGTCTGCTTCACCCAGTCCTTGATGATCACCTTATCGTTCTTGATAAAAGGCTGCTCGAGCAACGCGAGTTCCTCGAGCCTCTTCCTTATACGCCCATCCACAATCTTAGACCTAATCGGCTCCGGCTTTGACAAAAGATCCTCTTTCTGCATCTCCATTTCCCTCTCCTTATCGACAATCTCTTTTGGGATGTCCTCAGTGTCAAGGTACTTCACTTGAGGGCACGCGGCCACTTGCATGGCCAAGTCCTCAATGAGTTCCTTGAAAATGTCACCTCGTGCAACAAAATCGGTCTCACAGTTGACTTCGATTAGGACTCCGATCCTGCTGTCGTGTATGTACGTGCCAATTCTGCCCTCGGCTGTGGCCCTACTGGCTTTCTTATCTGCGCTGGCTAAACCCTTCTTCCGGAGGTATTCCAGAGCTTGGACTAAATCGCCTCCAGTTTCCAAAAGGGCTTTTTTGCAGTCCATCATGCCTGATCCCGTTTCCTCACGCAGCTGTTTTACGAGCGCTGGAGATATATCAGCTGCAGTCCATTCCAACAATGAGATCTTAGTTGGCAGGATCAATTTGAACATAAAGATAATAGGAAAGATGGTGGATATAGTATGAAAAGGGAACTTCTTATCGAGATTTTACATAATTACAAGAGGGAAGTGAAAGGGGAAAAAAAAGCGTTAATTTAATGGGTTTTCAAAGTATCGTATCTCCAGTCAGCTTTACAGTATTTAAAAAAAAAAATGTCATAATAATTATTAAGAACCAGAATATTACCAAGATGATACTAGCATGTCCTAGTAGATTTAGTACGGTGCATATTCACTTTGATCAGTTAATCATTTCCAACTTATGGATATGAGCGATATTAAAACGGGTGAATCTACCTGGCTAAAACTTGGGCAACTTTTTGACATGTAACATGAGACTAAAAGAAGTTACAGTTGAAATTCAATATGAGAGTTCCAAATACGAAATAATATCGTGATTAAAGCGAAATGGAAGAATTCAAAACCTTTTGTTGTGGTTTCTATAGGAGAAGCATCACCGTTTGGTTCCCTTGGACTTGAGATGTTTCCGTTCTGCTCAGAGTCAACAGTGGTTTGCGCCATCACTTCAGTCAGAGTTACAGTGTCTTCACTAACCACGCTTTCTGCACAAAGAAGTTCATGTTTAGCCTCTGGCATTGTCTCTTCCAACAAAAAGAATATCTTAATAGACAAAAAAAGCCTTCCAAGAATTTTGACCATCAATGATATTTCATTGCTAGAGTTGAGAAACATATTCAAATCATAGTTTTTCACTAAGTACACTAGATAGCAAATGATACTAAATATCGGCGATTAGGAAGGATTTGTCAGATCTTCTAATAAAATGACCTAAAACTGGAGAAAGAGATATATCAGAAAACCTGTGCACTCGTTCCCCTGATTCTCAGAAATGATTTCCCCTCCTGAGCTCTCAATAGTGCCATTCTCATCAGAGTTTAACGCAGCAGTTTCTTCTTGTTCTTTACTTTGGTTTCCATCATCGTCCACTGCTTCATCTTCAACAACTTCCTCTAATTCTTCAGATACAAGGGGCTCCCCATCCTTTTCAGCTGCATTATCAATCGCGGGGAACTCTCCAGATAATTCCGACTCACTTTCGTATACAGAGAGAAAAGCCCCATTATCCCCTTCCTTACTTTGCTCTTCATCTTTCACCATCGAGTCCGAAACACCTTCACCAACAAAAGCGACTTCTCCAGCTATCTCACCTCCTTCCTCGTTTTCCACACCTTTGTAATAATCTTTCATATCCACCCCAACAACACCTTCAGCTTCCTCAACCAGATTGTCCGCCTTCTCCCTCTTGTCCAACAATGCAGAAATGACTGGACTGCCCCTGAATGCCAGCACAAAAGGGTTAGTATCCGAGTGCACCACCCCCTCGCCAAGCGTCACGTCCAACTCCTCCGCATCTTCCTCCTTCTTCATTGTCAGTGTTAACTGCCCTCTGTTCACTCGCAAAACCCGCACGCTAACAACCTGCCCAACTTCAAGAGACGAACTCCCCATCACGTACCCCAAAACCTCTCTCGCCTCCTCAGATGTCGGCAAAAACCCTTCTTCCCCATCAGGGAGCGATATAAAAGCCCCTGCCCTCGTCAGGTTCTTAACTGTCCCCTCAAGCTCCTGCCCCTTCACAAACTTGGAGCTCTTCCTATTCTCATTCCTCTTCTGACCGAAATCCCTCTGCTTCTGCTGCTGCTGGGCCTTGGCATTGGCAGGCTCGTCACTGTCCCGCATGGTCAAAGATATCCGACCAGTCTCCATGTTTGCCTCAATCAGCCGCACGGTCACCTCTTGCCCGACCTTAACCACGTTTGCCACGTCCTTCACAAAGCTGCTGCTCAGCTTCGACACGTGGACTAGCCCGTCCGTGAAGGCGCCGAAATCGACAAAGGCGCCGAACGGCTGTATGGACCGGACCTTCCCCTTGAAAGTTGCTCCGGGGACGAGCTCCTCGTTTTTCACAGGCGGCATCTCGCTCTTTCGTGTGGGCCTCGAACGTTTTGACTTCGAGGCATTCGAGTCTATCTCCTTCTCCTTCTCCTCCTCCTCCACAGCTAAGGGGGTACTGGGTGTAGTGCATAATATGTGGGTTATTTGCTTAGGTTTTATAACAACTCCACCGAGGAATTGGGGGAATAGACTGATTGAGGTGGATAGAGGTGGGAATGTGGCTTTGTGAAGGTTTCGAGGCTTGCTGCATCTGGGAAGAAAGCTGCTTTTTCTTAGTGTTATGGCAGAACCGGGAGTGAGTGAGACGTGGCTGCTGATGCTTGAATTAACTGGAGCCATGTTGGGATTTGGCTGGTGAACAATCGAGAATCAGAAGAACCGTTTCATCAATTTTGATCGCCTGAGACATGACAATCAAATTTCTTTAAAGCAAGAACTTTAGAGACATAAATGAAGATCTATGTAGAACCACAAAAGAGTGGGGAGACTAATTTGCACTGAATGGTTGATGTATGTTTGAAAATTATAAGGCTGTTGCTTAAAATTTGTGTTGACTCGTGTGTTGATAAATAAGCAAGATTATCAGGAGTAACTCATCATCGTGAAGAGTTAATTGGTTAGGCTTTTGAAGGCTGATTAGTACAGTAGAAAAGGATACCTAGTTTTCTTTTAAGTTTATTGCTGTACACAAATCTTGAGTTCCCGAACCTGTAGAGTTGAGGTATTCAAGTTACTCAGATGAGCCTGCATTACACCATCTTTATGCTAAAACCTTTTCGATCATACATATTTAATGAAGATAAAGTATAGCTACGGAACAAACTCAAGAGTCTGCAGAATCTTGAGTTATTCAATCTAGACATAAATGCTAAAAAAAATCCACACAAAACCCTCAGCAATCAATACTCTTTCCTTTACGTTTCCTCTGCATTACTCCTCACAACTAATTAATCATCGGGAAGATGAGTATTTCCCAGGGGCGAAAAGAATCATTAAGAAGAGAAGGCCAGAAAGTAGAGCTGAGAATTTGAAAAAAATCAACATTTAACAGTGACCCGTGGAAAAAGATTAAGCTCGAGCAAAAGCAAATACATCCAAAGAAGTGAAAATCACACTTGAAATTGATAAAACATTTCCAGAAAGTAAACAAGAGAAAAGATTAGCAAAATCGTACCTAGAGCTGAGGAAGTAGCCGAGAATGCAAGAGGCATAAGTTTCAGATGAAGATGAATAGATGATATGATAGGTGAAGCGGAGGAGAGTTGAGTCGCCCCCGAAAGAAATACGTTAGCCTCACAAATATGGGGAGTATAAGGCGGGGATGGGAAGCCTTATCTCAGTCGCACCTATTTATTGTCATCTGCCCTTATTCCTCTATTTCACCATTCTACGTTAACTATTTACTGGTGCACGTTTAGGCGCAAAAAAACAATAGAGTTGTATCGTCTATTTTCCACCCTTCTTAATCATTGATGTTTATTTTAGTCAAAATATTAATATGTATATTAATTATTATTCCGTTAACACGTTATACTAATATAAATTTAATTTTAGAATATATATTTCTTCATTAATATAAGAAAAAATAATAATTTTACTTATTCTTGTTCACTATATAGTATTCAATTATTATTTTATTATAAACTTTATTGTCATCTAATGTCATTATCATTATTTATAAAAGTTATAGAAGTAGTCTTCTTCTTAATTTTATGTAATGATACACACACACCCATGTTAGTGTTATATACTGAAAGCTTGGCTTTGCATGATATTACACATTTACCCTTTATGAATGAGAATCATGTTAGATTAAACAAGTTCTACGTTCTGTTGTTCTGCACTTAGATAGGGTGGGTCGTCATCGGGCGAACCGAAGATCACTCTATCAGTCACTTGCGAACAAGAATAGTTGTTCACAACCTAGATGGACATGAACACCCCATCCGAACGGTTGTAGTGTCAACTGTACAGTTTGTCTTGACTGATTAGTTGCACTAGTACATTTATGTATTGAACAGGATCCCAGAGAGGAGAAGTTCATTTTATACTGATCGTCGTAAATGAACTAGGCCTCGGTTAATTACTGCGTTCTCTTAACCCGTAAGATATTAAACAGGCAGATATATATAATATATATTACTTTGATTCACATGGGTGAGGTTCAGTTCGCTGGATTAATATTCCTACTGTTTTGGGTAATATTATTATATATAGGATGTGCTGTTAGGATATTTACGGTCACCATGTGCGTTAGTTTGATGATGTCCCCGGAGTGAGTTCATGAAGGATTGTTATGCTAAACCCTGCAGGTGGATTAAATTCCGGCATAATAAGAATGTGATGAACGAGCGCTAGCTTCGGTGAAATAATAATAAATTAATTAATTCTTGATTGTCAGTAATCGAATTAATTAATGGACATTATATCTTAAACGTGGGGAGGTAAATCGAGTAATTATTATTGGAGTCTCAAATGTAATTTGGGCTAGGGAAAGGGAGTGCAATAATATAATGTTGGTGGCCCATTAATATTATTTAATTAATTAGAGGAGTGGGTTTGGCCCACAGTTAGTCTAATTAATTAAGGAGCCCTTTTCCTAATCTCCTTAGGGTCCCTACTGTAGCTCTATATATACATCATTAAGCTCATGAGAAGAGAACAGAAGTCTCATTCTCACGTGAAACCTTCTCTCTCTCTAGATCTCATTCGAGCTTTATCTTCTTCTTGTTGCTCCACTGGTACAAGTTGAAGAAGGGTGTATTGAGTAATACAGTAGAAGATCTGTAGGTAAACCGAGACGAAATTGATTTTGACCTACAGAACTAACCGGAAGTCCCATTGAGACGTACAGTATACCCAGACGACCGTCTCGACGAGAGCTTTCCATCGCCGCCGACGTCGCCGGAATCCGACGCCGCACGCGCCCTCACGCGCCGCCGGAAGGTGTCTGGCAGCAAAATTTCGTTTTGATCTGTTTGCATCCGTTTGATCCAGTTTTGATCTGATCTTGTTCGTGCAACCCAAGACGCGTGTTGCGGTCAATCAATTGCGGTCAACCGTTCGTGGTCAACCAGATCTACATAAATTTTAAGCCGTAAGTTCTCTACGTCAAACCTTTAGATCCGCTGCGCATAGGTTTACGTTTGCTATTGAATTCGTGATTTGTACATAACGAGATTCTCACAGATCCCAACAAGTGGTATCAGAGCACTTGGTTAATTCGTTTTGTACAAAGTTCGAATTTTGAGAAGTTGGAGAGTTCAGGACATACTTATCGGAAGTTGGGATTGAATCCCAACTGACTGCACCCGGCACGCCCCAGCAGAACGGGGTTGCAGAGCGAAGAAATAGGACACTTATGGAGATGGTTAGATCTATGATGAGTTATTCGAGGTTACCAGATTCGTTTTGGGGAATGGCGCTGGAAACAGCATCGTACATTCTGAACTTGGTTCCATCGAAGTCAGTTGATACTACTCCTTACGAATTGTGGAAAGGGCGTAGGCCAGGCTTTTCACATATTCGGGTATGGGGTAGTCCTGCACACGTGTTAGTGCAGGGACCTGGCAAGTTGGAGAAACGTTCGGAAGCACGAGTTTTCGTAGGCTATCCCAAGGAAACGAAAGGTGGATTATTTTATAGTCCCGGGGATCAGAAGGTGATCGTTTCGACGAACGCTAGATTCTTGGAAGAAGACTATATTATGAATCATAAGCCCGCGAGTAGACTAGTCATAGAGGAGTTAAGGGGTGAAAACGATGGTTCCCCACCGAGTGCGCAAGTAGATACATCACATAATACTGCAACACGACACACTGAGAGTGTACCAGTGCAGACAGTGCCTCGTCGCAGTGGGAGGGTTTCTCATTTACCCGACCGATGGATAGGTCTTGGAGAGTCGTCAGACTCAGTTCCAGGAGGCCTAGAATCGGACCCAAGAACTTACGATGAGGCACTCCAAGATAAAGATGACAAATTATGCCCTCTTATGGTTATTGATTAGTACCCGTTGTTACTTAGTTAGACTTGCCTAGGAGTTAGACAACTATATTTTTTTAATAAGCAAGATAATTCATAGCATAATATATATTTTGTCAAAAAAAAGTATGGCAAGTCGATCCTACTAACGTTAGTCTCATACAAGATTTATGAGTTGTAAAAATATCATTCGTTTATTTATGTTACTTCTTTGAGTGCCTGATGATTAGATCAGGCCACATGACAATAACACCACCTATCTCACTTCCCTTATAATTACAAATTAAAAATATTGGACTGTATAATTTAGTTAATTACACGGTAAATTTCATCTAGAATATCAGTGTGTGATCTGACGGATAAAAATTAGCAAATCGATTTTACCCAGTTCTCCAATAGTAGATTAGGTTAGCTTAGTAGCTTTTTTTTTTCTCTAAAAACGATAATTTTTTTCACAAAAGGCAAAGCCTTGGAAGAACAAAATTAGAATAGATCCACCTGGGTTTAGTTGCTTAATTTTATGTGATTATGTGTGATTCTATAGATAAAAAATTGGTGAGGATACCGATTACACGAGTTGAACCTTCCTTCTTCTCTAACCTCTTTACTTTTTTTTTTTAATTAATTATTTATATATTTTTATTTTTTTTTGTCAAATAAATAAAGCTAATTGGGTTGAATGATATTCCACCTAAAAAAGAAGCCTTGATTTTGACACATTCACAACCTTGTTTCGATCATCATTACATAGTATCGCTTGTTTTCATACTTTAAATCTATAAAGATGAGATTCTAATGAAGCGTGTAGATTATATATTATAGGCCAATATTTGACTAGCATTATTGATTTTATTGGTTATTTTCAAATAAATGAAAGATGGCGGTTTTAAAATCGTGCATTCATCGACTTAAGATATCCCATGCGAATGTTTATAATATTTTGTGTGTGTATTGTTTTGATTTTATAACATATAAGCATCACATTTTTATTTTTTTTTTATTTATTTATTTTGTTGTGATGATTTAAATGTTAGACGGGTGAATCTGTTATATTTTAAAAAAATAAATACATACTTATACTATTAAATATTATATTTTATGTATCATGTATGTTAGCAAAATTCATTGACCTAATGGTGTGATCGGCCTAATAGAAGGCTTTGCAAAATAAAATATTAGTGAAAACAATGCTACCATGTGTCCATTTTCTATGACTCGCATAGAGCTTGTGAATGAACATGCATATTCCTCATCAAAATTTCCACCTTTTCAACATCATTAATTCATGTTTTGGAAATTGATATAATAAGGGTATGTGTCAAATAAAAAAGTATGTCTTGTGTTATGCTGTTCTAGTCATTAGTCCGGCATAATATTTTACAAATAAATATACTTTTATTAAAAATTTGTCATATGTCAAAAAACTTTATAAACAAAAGTGCAACAACGTATGTCATTTGATAGTATAAATATGTATTTTTATTCATGAAACTATGGTGGGTCGACTCGTCTAATAGTTAGGATGCCTCACATAAGCATTTGTGGAAAAAAAAGTTCAAATATAAAGTATCACTAATTTAATAGTTGTTTTTTCTCTTCAAATATATCATGATCATTGATCAGGGAATAACGCTTGACAAGAATTATGAAGACAACACGATTTGAACACGATATCTATTACATAGACAGTAAAAATAAACACGATATAGATAAGATAAAATAAAATATTTAATTAAATATGAACTTATTATTTATATTGACGAGCAACGTGATAGTACAATAAGAATACGACACGATGATATGATTTGCAACTCTTAAGTCACACTAGTACATAGCTCGTGCGATGTAGGACACACATATTAAATAATACATTTTTATAGACTTTGTCCGTTTATGCACCAGAAACAATAGGGTTTGATCATCCAATTTCTACTTCTTTTAATCACTGGTGTTTATTTTAGCTAGAAATTAGTTATTATTCTACTAACACGTTTATACTAATATAAATTTGGATTTTAAAATATATATTTATTTATTGATATAAGAAAAAAATATTTTTTTTGTTCACCATATAATATCAGTTATTATTTTGTTGTCGTATAATGTTATTATTATTATTTATAAAAGTTATAGAAGTAGTTTTCTTCTTCTTAATTTATGTAATGAAAAATATTTAATGTACGTAAGTATTACTTATTAATGTAATCAACTTAAATTTATGTAAATCAATTTAAATAAAATATTGTGAATATATTTTTTTACAGAATACACGTATTTTTTAAATTTATTTTTCTCATAATAATTAAAAAAATATTTAACAATTGCCAAAAAATAACCCCTTACATAATCAAGAGTTTTTTTTTTTATATAATTTTCATGCAATAAAAATATATTTTACAATAAATTCATTATGGAAACAAATCAAAACAAAATAAAAGTGATAAAAAATTATCATAATTGACAATAATATAAAAATAAATCACATGTTAAAATTTTAAAAAATAATTAATAAATTTTAATTTTATTATTTAGCCATTAGTAAAATTATTTAAAGATGTGATCATTATCTCTAAATGGTAAATTATTTTAATTTGAAAAAATTATTTGTTTTTATATAATCAAAAAGAGGTTAAAAAATATTATCGGATATATTAATTCACCAATTTTTTGCCTAATTAGTTAGAAGGAGAAAATTATTTAACATGTTACGAGTGTTTATTTATATTTTATCATGAAAGTCAATACTTGTGAAAAAAAAAAATAATATGGTTAAGACTTCAAATTATTTTCATGTTTATGTTGACCAAAATATTATCAACATGAATCACGAAAAATCAAATTGTAGTTTATTATAATGGATATCAATATTATTATTGTAGATGTTAATAAAATTATTCGAGGGAATAACATTTTTGATCATATCTGATTTGAAAATGTGTATATGCAAAAAAATTAATGCATATATTTAAAAAGTTTCCAAATAATATATGCATTATATGTTCGTATATTTTTTTGCTACTATTTTCAGTAAATGATTATTCTCTTTATATATATACATACTCAAAAATATAACTCAACTTCACCATTCTCAATATCATCAAAATAATTAAATAATATCAACCAATCATTCTTACAAATCATATCAACTTTAATTTACTATTCATCCACTCACATAATTTTGACTAACTATCACTTCACATCATTTCTCTCAGACCTAATAATTAACTCAACCTAATAATTAAAAATTATTTCTTTTTCCTCCACCTCACATCTGAACCTTACAACTCAATTTATCTTTATCCCCAACCCAACTTAATCTAAATATTTATTTTATTTTATTTTATTTAAATAATGCAATTGTGTTCCAAAACATATTAAGTGCGATCTCTATTTGTAGAGAATGAAAAAATATAAATTTTAGTATTTTTTATTTTTTCTAAATAAAAAAAATACACTTGTCCAATAAAAATGGGACAAATGTCTCATTCTCATAAAAAAGACCGGTTGTGTAACGCCCCACTTTATTTTGAAATATTTATCGAATTTATTTAACAAAAATCACATTAATTTAATTTTTTTTTTTTTGCAAACTTAAATTTAATATAAAACTCAGTAGGCGCTACTTATTTTACCAAAAGCTTTTATCCGCAAAAACAACCACATTAAAGAAAGATAGCATGCTCGAATATTAAATCATAAACCTCACTAGCATTCATTAAATTCAAAATCACAAAAGATAATTCATAACTCCCAAGTTTCAAACGACATGATCAATATCCAAATTTCGACATGAGTTCATAAACTAAGTGGAAGCAAAATTAAATAAATAAATGTCATAACCACCACTCGTCATCTCGTCTCGTCACCGCCAACTGCTTAACCTGCATCACTTACGAGCAGGTGGGAGTGAGTACAGTTAACTATCGTACTCACACTATGCACATGAATAACTTATAAATGGTATGGTCGCAGCATGAACATAAACAATTAAATCATGTCACATCTCTAGTCACATCAATGACTCTAGTCTCATCAAAGACTCATTCATGTACATCTATGCTCATCAAAGCTAAGCCATGCCATATTAGTGAAACATGGGAGTGCGTGCCACATCAATGACACGGCCTTCTCATAGGTCTTTATGAGATTTACCTCACAGGATAACCGTATCTTATCATACGGGGACAACCGTATCGACGGCCATCAAGCTCACATCGATAGGCTACATGCTCATTTTCATACATAGATCACACCAAACTTTTATCATAAATAAATCACACATATGCATAGATAATTTTTGAATAACCCACCTGGAAATTTCGGATTGATGATAGCAAATCAGAAAAGATGAGGACCGAGGCTCGACTCCTCAAACACCTACATTATGTCAAGATCCTACAATGAATATCTATCTTGACTTTAATCGAAAATCACAAAAGCAGACCTAGTCGAACTTGTTTCGACTAAGTAGTTCGTGAAGTCATGTGGAATTGGAACACTAAGACTCAGCTCTTAACTTGATCAAAACACATACACCAGATCATATGAATCCATCTAAGGATTGACCAAGTCAAACTCACAGAAAAACTAAAAGCAAGTCGATTCCCAAAATTTCATAAAAATCATGTTCGGAAATAGAAATCATTTAATCGCATGAAAATAGATGGTCAAGCTACCCTACGAATTAAACTCTGAAAATTTACCCAAAATTTCACCTTCCAGCAACATGTAAAACCGCAAAGTTTCAGCTTTAAACTCAAAATACCCTATTTTATAAAATTCGAACAGTATATCAGCAAAATGGGCACATTAATTCATACTCGGACTTAATGACGGAATCTGAACCTGACAATTTTACACAACCACATACAGCATGCTAAAGTCCATGTATAAAAATCTCAGCCTTAAATGTTAATTGCTGCTATTTTTAAAAATTCATACGAGCAACAGCAGTTTATCAAATTTAAACCCAAACTGAATCAAAACGGACTCCAAAAATACCCATCTTTTACAAACATGATTAAACACCTAATATATGCCTCTCGGTAAACTTTCAGAATTTTTCATGCAGTAACCAATTTATAAAAATTCAAACAACATTTCTGCAGATTCGACAAATAAAATATTTACCACATCAAATCAACTCCAAAAATTCTAAAAATTTAACACAACACATATAAGTCAAAGAGGCATGGCATATTTGAATATCAGCTCATTTCATTCAGGCATGAAATTTTTATGCATTTAACATTATTCTGGACAGATTACAATTTAATTATTTAAAAATAGCTACAGGCCTCTAAAAATTAAGAAATTTTTACAAAAGGCAGACAATGAACAGATAACACATCCCTCAAAATTTCAAATCGTTTAGAGCAGCGAACTATTTTTAAAAATTCAAACACCGAAACAGCGATTAAAAAGCTCGACAACTTTAGCAATTAATTCACAACATAAAACTTCTCGTCCGAGGCTTTTTCATAAGTCCAAGGACTCGACATTGTTCCAATATCCATCGACTTACACAACTTTCGAGGTCTCGTTCGATTTTTGAGAAAATCAAAGAGATCCCGAACATACGAACACATACAATCACAACAATACATATAATCGCACATATTCACATAATAAATTCACACTTAAATATCACGAGCACTTCACGAAAATGAACACTCAACGAAATAAATCACCTACGAATAAAACGAGACGGAAAAACGACGAGGTACCGTTCTCGGAAATAACTCGAAAACGTCACGAATACGAACGGGCTCGACGGAAGCTCGTCTCGCCGGAAGAGGAAGGCTCGTCGCACGGAAGGAGAAAGGTCGCTGCTGCTGGTTCACGGGCTCGTCGGGAAGGTCGCCGGAGTTGCTGCTCGAAGGGAAATCAAGCTCGCCGGAAAAATCCAACTGGAGCGACGGAGGTGGTGATGAAGATGATCGACGAGGGTGATGATGACGAGCGTGAGGATGATGATGGTTGATGAAGGAAACGATCGATTTATTTTTATTTTAATTTTTTTTTTCTTTTTTCTGCGCGAGAACCAGCGAGAGAGAGAAGGAGGAGATGATCAAAAACAATAGCTGCGGGATGTGTTTGGCCNATATATATATATATATATATATATATATATATATATATATCTACCTCTATCTTATAAGAAAACCATGTTGCCCCTTTGCTTGCAGCCACGTGGCACCTCTCAAAACTCTCCATTTTGTTCAAAACGGCGTCGTTTATGTGATGTTTTCCAACCAGCCTCTTTGCATTTTTTTTCCTAAACTACCCTCACTTTATATTGCATTTTTAGGATATTTTCGTCCTTTACATGTGACAGGCTATTTCCCTACCGGCAGAATTTCCGCACACACGCAAGCTCTCTTTCCAATCTACCCACTCTCATCATTTTTCTTTTATTTCTCTCAAACTCATCCTTTTCCACAAAGAAGGAAAAATAATCGCACAAAAATGAACCCGATCTCTTTGATTTTCCACCTTCAGCATTACAGGTTACCTAATCCCTTTTATGCAGAGAACAACGGTGGATTCCGATATATGCTCTACGCCGCCACGCTCGACCCGACCGGCTGGATCGGCTTAGGCGAGACCACGGCCAGTCCGACTTCTCCGTCACTGCTGTCGATAGGTTCATATCTATCTCCCTCCCCTTTCTTGATTTTTCTAAAATTCTCGCTTTCATCTATCAATTTTTTCGCCTGGTAAATTTTGTTCTTTTTTTTTCCACCTCTCTTATTCTGTACTTTGTTTAATCGCAATGTTCGAGTATAGCTTTTGTATCGATGATGGTTCACTCTGTTTCTCGTTTTTCATTTGGGCTTTTGATTTTTATATGCATTCATTTACTATATAGCTTTTATTTTCTACTGGCTCTCCTTTTCTTCTCAATTTGTTTGATTATCTTTTTGTAGGCCTGTGATTTCTCTACCTCTGTAAGTTTAACCTTTGTTCATGTGTCTATTTCGTGCACATTGTGTTATCTTTTTTATGTAAAGGTGAATTATCACATGTGATAGTTGACTGATGTTTTCAAGAGGATTTAGGGTAAATGGGATTATTGTAATGGTTGAAAGTATTTAAGAATAAAAAGGAATTGTGCTAATTAATTATGTTGATATATACGAGTAGGAATTTTTTATTGTTGGTTTCGACAGCCATCACCAATAGCGGAACAAAGCACCATATTTAGAAAATACTGAACCACGTAAAATTTTGCTAAACGAATAGAAAAAAGTAAGGAAAGTGAAAACAGTTAAGAACCTGAGAGTGGGTTTACAGTAACGAGCTTCACAAGCCCTAAGCAACGGCCTCAAAAGATTTAATTCCAAAAACGAATTCACATGATATGTTACACCAACCACAGTTGCAAAGAACGTGTCATTGTTCCCACTCATAGTTGGCACATCATCATCATCATCCTCCACCCTATATTCCTCCTGCACCAAATATGTATGGGAGATTATGCAAATGCACACTAATTAGAATTGTTAACTCATAACAATACTCTCACTTTATTTAAAACAGAATAACATTCAGCCAATAAAAATCAAAACACAAACACACAGCCCGTCATTCTTCAGTAATTTAAACACGAATCGCAACACTTGCCTTTTCGGATCCGACTAACGAATAAAATCACAAGTACGACAATGGCATGATTTTTCAGCTCTTCCAGCTATCATCCATTTCCAAATTCAAAGAGCTTAACTCAGGATTTATATGTTTCTCCAAATCAATCACAGTTTGCCATCTACAAATAACAATGAAAAAAAAATTCCAACTGCAAATCAAAATGAAAAACCCTATAAATCACAGCTCGCATATAATTCTAAGATGTTGATTCTCTCTTCAAAAGATTCAGCCACCAAAAGGAGCAAATACAATTTGATTCTAGTAGGAAGTGTTCGTATCTTCGTTGCCAGGAAATTTCTCGATGATTTTTCGGGCGATAGCGTTCACCGTTGTGGGCATGGAGCTGAACTTCGCCAGCACTGAGCGATGCGCCACCAGCGTGTACACTATCACCATTTTCACGCGCCCGCTAACGCGAATACTTTCTTGTAAGAACTCGTGTGTGCGTACAGATAGGAAATGAACCTTTTCAAAAGGTCCCATCTTTGCTATTTCAAATTTTACCTTATCTACCTGAGACAAACAATTTACAGAGGCTCGCGTTCGACACGACATGTGCTCATCACGGGTTTCGATCTCGGGTGCCTGTAAGACAACCTGCCTAATGTCCCGTTCTCGAGAGCCATGGACAATGTCGAGGAAGTCATTTTCATGCGGAACGTGCTGCCTAAGAGGGTTTGGTAACGAGGCATACCTTTTCAATTGCTCTGATGGAAGAAAACTGAAAGTCAAATATATATATATATATATATATATATATATATATGATATTAGGTTTTGATCTTCTTGATGGCCAAGAAACCAATTTCACGCCCAAAATAAAGAAAAAGAGAATCTGTCGGGCCGGACCCGAGAAGTTGGGCCAAATGGATTTTGGGCCGGTTGGGACATCAAATTGGCTCACGGGCTCGATTAAAAATTTAAACGGACATTTTCGGGCCAATTTCGGTTCCATTGAAAATCCTCGGGCTCGATTTCAAATGCAAAGGCGCGATAAAAATAACCGAACAATATATATATTTATATTTTTAAATACACATTAATAATTAAATAAAATCACAAAAATCAATTAGACAATTACACATTTAGCATTTAATCACATTTGACAATTAATAAGCATAACGACATACAAGAAAATAAATATAAATATCATCACCAATTAATAATAATAATAATAATAATAATAATAATAATAATAGTAATAATAATAATAATAATAAATCTCAAATAATCCACAAATAAACGGGGCATTACAGGTTGTGACCCAAGGTCATATTGTGTCTGGGTAGCGCGACCACTGACCTTTTTATTTATTTTAGGAAATGAAATATGGTAATAACGTATGAGTAAGAGAATTAGAGAGAAATGTATTATGTAAGTATTATTTATTGATAATATTTAAATATATTAAATTTTTATTATTCTTAATACTAAGCAGGAACTCGAAAATGACAACTATTTTATAACGGGTGAAATAAACATATAAATTATATGTTAAATTAGTATATACTATAAAATTAAGGGAGCTTTCTTTAAAAATCCTCAATCCCTAAATCAACTTCCAAGTCAGTCCCTCCTTATAGTTTCTATCTATGTTACTCCCTACCCCCATATTCATCTTCCATTTAAATCCCTCCTATTAAAATAAAGGACAAAGAAATTAATTTGTGACATCATCCCCACTTACACATTATTTTACTATTTTTCTTTACCTAAAAATCTGATTTTATGTTGCTTCTTCCCCACTTCTCTCCTCCCGTTTTCCTCCTTTTTTTTCTGCATCTTCTCGCCGTCGGCCCCAATTTTTTTTGTTTTTTTTGCAGCTTCATCTCGCCGGCGACACCAAATTCGGCAAGAAGAACACCGGAGGCAACAATTCCGGTGACATCGGGGCTTTTTCCGGCCAAAAGTCCTTGTTTCTCTGTCCGAAAATTCCTTTTTTTTCCGGCAACATTGTGGCTTTTTCCGGCGAAAACTTGAAGTAATAAGTAATGTATGTATTATATGAGAAGTTTGGAGTCTAAAAATCATCTTTAATTCATATATTATTGTTTGATTTGTGAAGGATTGAATTTTGAATATTGTCGTTTATATTTACCCTAAAACAAAGAAAGTGATCATAATCCTTTCTTTTTGTTCATGTATACTAAATTTATGCTATTGTTAGGTTATGTTAGGTGTTATTGACCATAAAACAAAAAAATAAGATGAGAATAATCATAGTACCACTATTCATGATTGTGTTGTACCTCTGTTTGGATATATAGTACCACTTTGCTCACTGTTGGTACCATCTGTGTTGGGAAATGTGAACATTTTTTTTTAATCCAATTATTGTTAGATACATGGAAGGGGCACAAAAATTCCTATCTCTCTGTCTGAAAATTCTTATTTTCCCGGCAAGATTGTGACTTTTTTCGTTGAAAACTTGAAGTAGTAAGTAATGTATGTATTATATGAGAAGTTTGGAGTCCAAAAATCATCTTTAATTCATATATTTTTGTTTGATTTGTGAAGAATTGAATTTTGAATATTGTTGTTTATATTTACCCTAAAACAAATAAGGTGATCATAATCCTTTTTTTTTTGTTCATCTATACTAAATTTATGCTATTGTTAGGTTATGTTAGGTGTTATTGAGCATAAAACAAAAAAAAATAAGATTAGAATAATCATAGTACCACTATTCATATTTTGTGTACCTCTGTTTGGATATATAGTACCACTTTTCTCGCTGTTGGTACCATATGTGTTGGGAAATGTGAACTTTTTTTTTTAATCCAATTATTGTTAGATACATGGAAGGGGCACAAAGTGATATATTAGGGAGTTGTACGTACAAAGATGAAATGTATGTGTTCTCTCTGAACCTTGAATCAACTCTTGACGACGTGTACAGTCTCATTGGTAAGAGGTGGCCGATTGTTAGTTTGGAAACCGTCATGTTAAACTATATTGCGCCAAAGGAAAAAAAGAGAATTAGTTTATCCGATGATGAGGATGTAAGAAACATGATTCGGTTACATTTTTGTTGGAAAGTAAATATTGTGGAGATAGTTGCCATTGAAAGAAATGAAAGTCCGGGCATTGGAAGAAATGAAAGACGAGATGATGGAGTTCAATCTATGCCGATGAACATGAGCGGGTAATGTTGCTTTCATAATATTAATGAATTTGTTATTGATATATGGTGTATTTGTATCATCATATCCAAATTCATTAATTTCTTAACTAGTTCCATTATGTATAAAAATTTGTATAAATTTATCATGAACGCAGGAAAATGTTACGAGAAGGAGAATCGGAGTTGGTAGTGCAAGATAAATCGATCGATTCTTGGAGATTCTCCATCAAAGGAGAGGGGCAAATGTTTAGTGGCGGCGCGGATGAATTTCGAAAGTTTGTTAAAAACTACGCAATTACGAATAGGCGTTCTTTCAAGTACTGAAAAAATGATCAACAGAAGATCATTGTTTGTTGTACTGATGAGGGTTGTCAATGGAGGATATATGCCTCAAAATACAAAGGTGATCAAGTCTTTGCCATCCGGAAGAGCAATTTAGTCCATACCTGTGGAGTGTCCAATCTTCGGACAAGGGGGCATCCGAAAGCAGACTCTCATTGGGTCTCGAATGCAATTAAGGAGAAATTGAGAGATGAACCGAGCTACAGGCCTTGCACAATATTGAAAGATCTTCATAGGGATTATGGCTTGGAGTTGGCTTATAGAAAGGCATGGTTAGGGATGGATATTGCCATGCAAGATATTCATGGAGCAGACAAGGGCTCTTATGATAAATTGAGATGGTATTGTACTAAAGTGCGTGAGACAAACTCGGGAAGCATTGCGGATTGTGAGCTTGACCCTGTCGAGAATAAGTTCCGCCGATTGTTCATTTGCTTTCATGCTTGTCTTGTTGGTTTTATAACCGGTTGTCGACCGTTGATATTTTTTGATGGCACTCACATAAAAAATAAATTCAAAGGCATTTTGCTTAGTGCTGTGAGTAAGGATGCCAATGATGATTTGTTCACTTTAGCATATGCCGTGGTTGATGCCGAGACCGATGAAAATTGGGAGTGGTTTTGCGTGAAGCTGAATAATACTCTTCTTACCTCGGGCTTACCTGTTCTAAGAAGCTTCACGTTTTTTATGGACCGACACAGCGAGCTTCTTAAAGCCATCCCTATGGTCTTTCTTGACAGCCATCATGTTTATTGTTTGCAACATTTAGTCGACAACTTTAAGAAGCAGGTAAAAAACTTAATTAGTCTGTTTATATTTACATTTAATTTATCACTAATTATTCATAATAAAGCACGTTTATTTCATTAGTCTATGTTGTCATTATCATCATTATCATGCTATGTACATTTTGTTTATACATTCTGTTAGTTTTTTTATTTTTTTAAATTCTATTTACTTTTATTATAAAGCAGGTTTCATTATTATTATTACATTTTTTTGTAGGTTTTGAAGAGCTACCCACTTAATAATAAGAAACATTTGTCCTCGATTTTTAAGAAAGCTGCGTATGCTCCTACGAGGCAAGAATTTGATATGCATATAAATAATATATTGACTCATATGCCTCTTGCTCTAAAGTTCCTTCAGGAATCTAACCCAAGTTTTTGAGCGAATTCTTTATTTACCGAAGACCGTTGGGGGGTCATGAATAATAATCAAGCCGAATGTTGGAATAATTGGATGAGGGCGGCACAATTTACGCCTGTCGTAGCCATGGTCGATCACATACGGAAGCAAATTATGACCATGATGCACGATCGACGTGAAGGAGGATCACGGTTTAATGGCCCGTTGTGTCCGAAGCTCGAAAAAATAATTTCATCTCGCTACAATGCTTCCCGGAGTCTCAAAATCATACAATCAAGTGAATGGATGTTTGAGGTTGTTGATGCGGACAAAAGTTATGACGTGGATTTGCAAACTCGCACTTGTTCTTGTAGAGAATTGCAACTATCTAAGATGCCATGTCACCATGCATGTGCTTTTGTTGAGAGTAAGTCAATGTCCATCTATGATTTTTGTGATCCATATTATCGGGTTGGGATGTATAAGCAAGCTTATCAAGGTACTATTAATCCTATACCCAACTACGATCATAATGTGGCCTCTTCCTCCATATATCATGATGATGTCATTCATGCTCCGGATGTACGACCTCAGCCCGGACGCAGGCGGGAAAAAAGAATTCCTTCACAAGTTGATGTTGCGGTTAGGCGGTGCAAGCGTTGTGGTCGTCGTGGACACAATCGACGTACGTGCAAAGAACCTATCTAGATCACTCATGTATTTTGTTTTTTAGGCATGTGTATTTTTTTGTTTTTTGGGCATATGTAATTTTTTTTTGTTGCCCAAGTGTATTTTGTTGTTGCCCAGGTGTATTTTGTAATTTGTCAATTGTATTTGGTATTTTGTCGGAGAATGTCTTTTGATCAATTGGTACAAGTTATTGATGAATTAGTACCACTCATTCTTATATTCAGTACCGGTTATTGATAAATTAGTACCTCCTTTGTAGAAAGAACAAAAAAAGGGTTACTTCAAATTTGGTCATTTTTCAAAATCAGTACCAGTCATAGAGTAAGAGAGTACCTGTTTTATGTTATTATAGTACCAGATATCGGGTCACTAGTACCACTTATAATGAACACATAAAAACACCGAAATTCGATCACAAATG